CAGTCATACCTTCTGCTGTTCAACATAATGATGACTGGTAGATAATTAGTTCTTAGCGGAACTGCAATTTAAATTTAAAAAGCATAAATCCACTTATGAATTATAAAAATTAGTAAGACCGCTAACGCGTAAACAAAATTTTTGGGTCCGCAATTAGCGGATTTGCGCTTTAGTGGGCTGGTGCCCATCACTGCTATTTACGCATTGAGACGTTTATTGTTTTTAATTCCACTCAATATTTTTGTCCAGGTTTTAATAATTATGAACTGTTTTCTATTCAAATCTATTTATATTAAATTTACATCTACTAAGAGTTCCATTTAATTAATATTTACTCAATTCCAAACATGCCTCATTTTTATTGGGTAGATATGGTGTATTTTTTCTTACAGTGTATAAAAAAGTGTACATTTTATCAGTTGTCATGAGCTTAATTTCAGTGATGTGTTCTGGACTCAGAAACAATCCTCAGTGATAAAAGAGAGCATTGTACAGAAGTACCAGGAGATCCAGGTCATTCTGGAGGAGGACCTGAGAACTACTTTGTCCCACCTGGAGGTGGAGGAGCGGGCTGCCGTCTCGGCCTTGGACGGACTCATGGACAGGAGCTGTTCTCTGATCCAGGAAATAGAGCAGGACCTGGCCAGGCTCTCGMTGGTACTGAGCCAGACCGACGCTGAGCCGAACACAACGGTAGGAAAAATAAGAATCCAGAGAATTAAAATGTGAAGAAAACAACAACATTTAATTGTTTTTCTGCTCCTCAGCCTTTCTTCACACCGTCTGTGAGGGACGGCATGGACTCAGTGGACAGGTCGGGACAATAAGTTTCTGTGCTCTTCATTAATTATTATTATTAATTATTATTGATTAATTATTCTAATGGTCTTCTTCCCTCAGAGTGATGGAGCTGCTGAACCAGTCAGACCCGAGCAYCGTGAGCCTGGATGAAGCTAAAACCGATCAGATCCTGAGCCTCACCACCGGCCTGCTGCTGCTRGTCTCCTCGCAGACCCCTTTAATCAAGAAGCTCCTGCAGAGCTGCAAGTTCTCACTTTATTTTCATAACTTCAGTCCCAAATTCACCTCCAGCCTCAGCTGCACTGAAACTCTGCGGCTTCTCAGAAAATACAGTGAAGCTGAAACAGTGTGCTTAAAGCTTAGAGAAGTCAAACTAGCTAAACGCTAATCAGAGCAAATACTAGTTACAATTTTAAATTAGTCAAATACAAACTAAAGACCAAAAATAAAAAAACAACTAAAAGTAGCTAAATGCTGCATTAATATAGCATAAATTCTAGAAAATTATAAAAGAAGCATACCACTAGACTAGATAAAAGCAAAAAGAAACAAAAAACTAGTTGAAAATAGCAAAACACCAACGGAAAGTAGCAAAATGCCAGCCAAAATAAGCTAAATGTCAGCTAAATGAAGCTAAAGGCCAGCTAATAAGGATCTTAAGGAGCTTATAGTTAAAAGCAAAATAAAAATGCAAGCTGAAAACCAAAACTAGTAGAAACATCTAAAAATAGCAAATTGCAAAATTAAATACAAAAACAATAGCTAAATTAGCTACAGGCTAGCAAAATGTTAAATTCGAGCAAATACTAAATAATACTAAATACTAAAAGAACCAAAATGTGAGCAAAAACAAAACAAAACTAAAAGAACACCTAAAAGAAGCAAATCTCAATACTGACAAAATGCTAGCTAAAAGTATCAAAGCAGCAAATACTGCAAATGAATGTAAAAGATCCAGATTGCAAGCTAAAGCCCAAAAAGTGTGAAAAAATATCTAAAAGTTGCAAATCACAAACTATAGAGGCAAAACACTAGCTAAATGTTAAAAGTGGCAAATACTAGCTAAAAGAATCAAAATGACAAATAACTAAAAAAGTTAATAATTAAAAGTAGCAACATGCAGAACAACATCCAGAAGAAGCAAACCAGTAGACTAGATAAAAGCCAAAAGTAGAAAAATACCAGCTGAAGCTGGCAAAACACTAATTAAAATAGCTAATGTAAGAACCTAAATGTGAGCTGCAGACCAAATATTGTAAAAACAACACTGAAAAGTAGCAACTCATAAATCATAATGGCAAAACTCTAACTAAAAGTAGCTAAAGGCTAACTAAATGTTAAAGGGAGRAAATYRTAGCTAAAATAATCAAAATGAGAAAGAGACCAAAAATAGAAAACAACTAAAGGTAGAAACACGCTACATAAAAGCAGAGTTGACTAGCTATAAACTAAATACCAGCTGAAGGTGGTAAAACACCAGCTAAAATTAGCTAAAGGCTAGCTAAAAGCTAAATGTAGCAAAAGGCTAGCTACAAGCCTAAAGTAACAACATAATAACTAGAAGCTCAAAGTAGTGAAATGTAAACCAAAATGAGCAAAACCCTGGCTAAAAGCAGTGTTAGCACTTACTAAAAGTAGTAGCTAAGAGTTAAAAGAAGCAAAGCACAAGCTTAAAGCTAAAAACAGCTAAATGCTAGCTAAAAGCTAAGGTTAGTCAAATACCAAAGAGAAAAAGATAGAAAAAAATGTTCAGAAAAATAAAATAAAAAACCAGGAAAACAAAGATGCTGATTCAGCGTTTTAATCTTTTATCTCCAGATTCCAGCGAGGTTCACCTGGATCCGGAGACGGCCCACCCAAAGCTGATTATCTCTCCTAAAGGTGACAGCGCTGCCTACACGGACACCTGGCAGCAGCTTCCTGATCTACCCGAACGCTTCGACACCACGCTCAACGTCATCAGCCTACAAGGCTTCATCTGCGGACGCCATTACTGGGAGATGGACGTGACCGGGAAGACCTACTGGGAGCTCGGCYTCACTTACCCCTCCATTCCTCGCAGGGGCACGTCAGAAGCCTGCTGGCTGGGCCGGGGCCCCGAGTCCTGGTGCGTGGAGTTCTTTGACGGGGAGTACACAGCCTGGCACGGAGGGGTGCCTCACCAGCTGCCCTTCACCAAACATTTCTCTCGGATTGGCATTTTGTGTAGTTTCCCTGCAGGGTTGGTGACTTTCCTTGAGGCAGAGAAAATGACGCCTCTGTTTTCTTTCAGCGCCGGAGTCTTCTCGGAGTGRCTCCACCTGGCCGTGTGTCCGGGTCACCACCAAAGTGGCCGGAATTCAAGTCCCATTGTCATCCTCAATGCTTCGTCTCCTCCCAGTGACCTCTAGCTGCTCAAACGAGTTTTACGCAATAAAAGTCACGGAGAGAGTCACAGGGAACATCCAGGGAACATCAGGAAAACCCTGATGATCAGTAGGACCTTTAGACGCTGAATCTTTTGTCCATCAAAATCAACATCATGAGACAAACCTACCACCTCCATCCCACAGAGAAGCATGGTGGTGGCAGCATCATGATCGGGGGATGGTTTGAATCTAGAGAGGAACTTGAAGCACACAGCTGAAGCAACATGTTGGTTTACGTTGAACCAATTAAAGGTCCTGGAATGGTCTAATGAAAGACCAGACCTCTGTTTCTGGTTCGGTTCGATTCGATTCAACTCAATTCAGTTCAATTAATTTACATGGCGCCAAGTCACAACAAATGTCGTCTCAAGGCACTGAACACACAAAAAACAATCTAAAGAAGTGATAGAACAAAGTTGAGGTGGTGTTTATTTTCATCATTCAATATACTTGGC